GCGCCGTGGTTTTCGGATACTGTTCCTCTGGCTGTTTTAGCGCCGTTAGCGCAGATCAGAATCCGACAAGCCAATCCTGTAACGACTGTGCACGATCGGCCTGTCTTTGTTTCTGCTGTCGCGTGCGGCAACAGTTACTGCGGCACCGTTTCGGTCTACACCGGAGTAATACCTGCGGACGCCGAAGTTTGTCATTGCGTAGTATGACTCATACAAACTTTTGAATCCCCCTTTTTTTTTTTCGGCGCTCCTATCTTACTGCTTCCCCAGCGTAGTTTATGTTCGTATGTGTTATTGCGCGTGTGTTCTACCTTTGATGAACCGACGAAACTTTCCTGTACGCTGCTTTTCGAGCTGCGCTGCTCTGGCCGGCGTGTGCGCCGACCCGCGACGTTTTGAAGTTGGCTGCTGATCGGACTTGTTTTCTCGTAAAGTAGCCTCGCACTGCCATGTGCGTGATTGTTTCTTTTTCATCGCTAGTGCTCTGGTTTGCGTGGTACTTTATTTTGAGGATGGTGGCACTTACGCGCACAAGTCTTGAGAGGTTCTTTTTTTTTTTTTCTTAGACTCGCAACTAGTAAAAGTTAGCGTGAGGGGACGTGTAACTGCGCTCAGAAGCAGATTGAGTCGCGCTCTTTAGTTTCACTTTCGTAAGCTATTTCCGTAACTTCACGGAAACACGCGTTCAAATTTAAAACCGCCGAGCATTCCCCCCCCCTTTTTTTTTATTCTTTTTTCAGTGTCGTGAAAGCATGCTTGTTTGATATTCTTTATTTCTATACACTCGTTGCCACATTGTAACGATCGCGCATGACAGTACTTTTCGCAAGGTAAAGCCGCTTACACAAAACCTTGTGTGCTAAAGCTGATGCTTGTTTCGTCTCGAATTTAATGGGGAAATGTTTTGAAAGCGAGTTCACCAGCCGAGCGCTCCCGGTTCGAGAAGGGACGCGAAAACGTCTAGGTTCGTCTGATCTGCTCATGCCATGGAGCTTACCTCTGCTGGGGAACTTGGTCGCCCAAACTTGTTGCACGACGTCAACTGTGTTCACGAGGGTACTTTCGATCGCAGTCGAAAACGGCCACGTGACTCAGTTATAAATTGCCTTACTGCGCAGGGCTCCAGTGTTACGTCTGTGATTGGATATTTAACAATGTTGATATCGCTCACAATATTTCTTGACGACAGTTCTTGCACCAGTACAATCGACGTTTATGTCGTCACGGTAGTACGTCTCTTTCTTTTCGGCACTGTGTGCGGCAGTACAGAACTGCATCGACTTTTGTAAGCGTCCGCTTCGAGATCGGTTGGTGCTCCATCGACGATGGATGTGCGGCGTGGTACACCGACGAAGCGTCTGTGAGCGCACTTTGAAAGCTGCAGCGAAAAGCGCCGCTTTAATTTGTTTATATTCATTGCGCGCATTCGTTACGTGAACCTATATGCTGCATTTTTTTTTTTTTTGGTTTTGTTGGGCTTGTGCATGGACGCAACCGGAATATTATTTCGAGGGTGAGGGGAAGGTAGGTGTTCCGGCTTCATCTATGTATGCGCATGCGAAATTGAACCCCCCCCCTCCCCGAGACTTCGACGCCTGTGGGCTCATGCTTGTAGCTTCAGTCGAGACTATGCTTTCATGGTTATTATATTGCAGCATTTGGGGCCGATTATGCATGTGGCAACATTCCCTCATGGGATATAAACGTTAAGAGTGCAGTGAAAACAAAGACACAATGGAGGCACACACACACTTGCCTTCATTGTGTCTTCGTTGTCAATGCGCTCTTACCGTTCATAAACATGGAATACCAACGTGCCCAGATGTCCGCCCTTGTGGACATAGGAAGAAATTGTGATGCTGCAAGCTTATACGTGCACTACGTTGTAGTAATGGGAGCACTTGTATGATCAAAAGACGCCGTCTTCCTTCAATTGCTTCTCACCAGACATCTCAATTCACTCGAGTGCATTGTCAATTGTTTCAATTGTTGCTGCCTGTTATACTGATGCACACTTTTGTACTTCACACTCGTTTTGCAGCTATAAACATTTGTGTGTGATACATATACATAAGGTTTTTGCTGGCAGAGGCCGTAGTTGAGTACAGCTTAAGGTCTAATCTGGATAGGTATTCAGCTACGTCCGGAAGGAGCTACATAATTGTATTATTTTTACATTGCAGTTACATTAATTGACATATTTCACTGCATTATTACTTCAAATGAAGCTATTGGCCAATCGAATGTGTTCTTCCCCACTAACTGATCTTGACATTGAATTACCTGGCTGTCCATTGTATGTGTGAAATTTATGATATACTGGAGTAGCATATATTTACTGCAGTGTTTTTGTGGCATACCACATAGTTTCACCATGTTGTTTCTATTATTTAGGCATTTCTCTTTCTCAGCCAGTTAGCTGTTGAATTAGCCATGGTAGCAGCCATTCAGCATTGGGAATTGCACTATCAAAAGCTTAACTTTTAAATTTTGCATTGGTAAATGTTTCTTCCCTGATATTCATGTTGTGTGTATGAATTTCATAATAAGCCGCATATATCAGTCAAGTAGCACTGTCTGTGCTTTAGCCGAGGTGTTTTGCTGGTGGAAATATGTTTGAATTGTGTTTCGTGTATGGTTACAGCCACTACAGCTGAATCTGCAGTAAAGGATCGTAGGTTTAGCTCGTTAATTTGAACTTAAATGGCACTGTAAGATTGTGAGAATCAAGCATATTTTGAATTAGCGGGTGTGCGCTAGTATGAAAGGATATTGCACCCCACAGCATGGGCAGAACTCAAATAAGCTACCTCTGGACTCGATATCGCGAACTAGGCGCTACCACACCCTTCTAGCTAGTGATTTCATAAATAAATTCATGGAGCTCCTACTGCGAGCAGAGCTAATTGATGAGTCAATACGGCAAAAACAAGCACTGACATGTATTCATATAAGCAGTAAGCATTGATCTGGAATACATGATGCTATTTACACTTCATATATTCACATGGTAAAGTTATCATAGTCGAATTTGAAAGTAATGAGTAATTTGCATTGGCTTGCATTTCTTCTGATGCAACTCCATAGCATCGTTTGCATCTTGTCCAAGAGCTCCAGTGCAGCCTCAGAGTTGTCATCTTCTGAGAAATGTTGCTGTTTCATTTTCATCTCTAGTGAATTTAGTTTGGCTTGTTATTGCTACACATTGTGATCACTGAGGGCTGTCATCTACAAGGAGCGATGAAAACCAGGGGCTCCCAGTTCGAATTACTCTATGTGAATACCGACGTGCTAGATGGTTGGGATTTAATCTGAACCTGGTTTAGACCGCAACAGTATAACCACGAACACAAAGGAAGGAGCAAAAGAAAAAATGGCTCTGACTCTAAACTGATTTTTATTGATTTTCCTTTTCTCCTTCCAAGTGTCCGTGTTTCAAGTGTTGTGCTGTAAACATAGTTTACGAGGAATATACAGGGCTTTGTTGTGGCCAGGCCGTCAGTTTGAATTAATGAGCTTTTATTGTAGATGTTTTAATTTAGACACACATTGAGTGGTAACATTGGTTAGTAACAAGTACCATGTTATGGTAAAAAGCTACAGTACTTTGCCATAAGGTGTTAAATTCAAGCTATCTTTAAAACATAACTGTGTACGTGTGTGCTGAATTTTGAGGAATTGATAAATGTGTCAATTTCTGAGTTTCCTACACTAATGCTTTGCAGCAAAACAACATCAAAATGTGATGTAATAATTGTGTTGTGTTAGTAAAATGTTTAGGAAAATTAGGAGTCTTCTTAAAGAGCCCTGAAAAGATTTTCTGATATTTTGTTTTGGATTATACCAATACTGAAGCAAATCATTTGCACCAGAATTCCATCACAGCACTTCTTATTAATGGAGCTACGAGTAATAAGTAGGTACCCTCCTCCTCCATTATGCCTTTCACCCTCAACTACCCCAACTCTTCCTTCGAGCACTCGGAGCTAAGATCCGCATTCATGGGGCGTGTGCCGCACGTCCCACAGCCAATCAGATCAGCAGCCACAGTGAATGGGGCAGAAAATGTCGCTCTGTGGATGGGCGGCTGAAAACATGTTTGGCCGAGTCCCAACGATTCGCAGCTTTAATGCGTTGCAATAAATTATACAGTTTATATGGAGAGCTGAAATTAATTTGTAATTGAACCATGGGACTTAGTCTACAGGCCCAGTGTGTTTGTACAAAATGAAAATAATCAGAACCGTTTCAGGGTCCCGTTAATGAGATCATAGTGTAAAGTCTGCAGGTCGTCATTTTCTGGTTGGTTATGGTTGGCTTTGTTATATTTTTTAACCTGTGCTAGTGATGAAAGTTGACATCTTAATATCTCAATAATCTTTAAAAATTTCTGAAAGCCTCTATGCCGTCCTATTTGTATTAACATATTGTCATGTTTCCTTCATTTTTGAAGGCTTGCTTGATTATGTTGTTCCGAGGGGCAAATGTCCACATAATTGTTAAATCTTATGCAAGCCATATCTTTGATAGGGGCTCCCCAGTACAAACTGTCTTTAAGAAAGTGTTTTCAGTTCCTTATAAAGGTCATTCATTATCTAATTTGTATAAAAGGAAGTTTCAGAAAATGCTACATTTTTAAATTAAGTAATTATTAACAACACGTATTTACACAACCTCGCCATATATTCAGCATCAGTAGACTTGCATGAGTCGTGGAAGGTGCCAATTTTAGAAGAGAAAAAAAAAATGGCTGTGAGTAGTTGTCATTTCTGTTGTTCTATTTCTCTGGGCCTCAATGTGATGACTCATTGGCTGTGGGCTCTTGATGCTGGGATTGATGAAACATGTCCAGTTTCTTTAGCTGGTATGCTGAAGTGCTGGATCTGAGTGTTCAGTACACGTTGAAAAATGTCTGGAGCCCTTTACTAGGGCATACGTCGTAGTTATACAATAATGCTCGGGCTTTGAGTTTGTGACTGTTGCATTGTTGTCCTGTGCAGTGATGCCGGAGGCATGTCAGGCATGGGCTGGCAAAGCGGGGGGGGCCCCGTGAGCCAGCAGCAGCAGCTGTCAGTAGTGACCACAGTGTGGGGAGTGACGTCCACCACGCAGAGCGCAGCGCCGTACACGCCTGGGCCCCCCCAGGCTAAGGGGGGCCCATACGCCCCTTCTGGCTACCCGTCGGGTTCACCACTGGGCCCTAATAAAGGCTACTCACCTGTGCCACCTTCGCGACAACCTCCTAATGCATATGCTGGGTAAGACTTGCTTGCCACTGGCTTTTCACGCTTTTAAAGACTGTCAGTACGTCTCAGCTTTAGCCATAACATAGCCGTATGTGTATCTCAGTTATCAAGAATGCCATTGATGTATAACTGGTACTCTTAACAAATCTACATCTCTTCCTTTTTTCCTGCAGTCTCATATCCGAGCTGTGCCCTATTTGGTTGGTAATTAGGGTACATAATTAGAAAGGAAGAGTCAAGCAAAAAGAATCTTTGTTATATGGGTCCTGTTCACTTAAATAAAAATATTTGTTTTATGGACATCTGTGAGATGTTGTTTTCAAGTGAGAATTAATATTAAGTGACTCTGTACCACATTGAGTACACTGCTAGATGTTGTGGCCATGTGGTTAACTGGAAAGGGTTTCACTCATGTACTTCATCACTCGCTCTTTTGCTAACACTAATTCTTGCCGATTCCTTTAGAATCCATATCACTTGATCTCAATTGAATGTTTTTTCTTGCAACTTATGTCTATGGCTAGTTTTTTTCCTACTTTACCACATTTCACTGCAAAAACAGATTGAAGCCAATCAATAAAAGCTGTAGTTGGATATCATCTCTGTGGGAGGTCTTTACATTTAGGCTCGTTCTTCCATTCTGCATCTTCAAAAATCTCTTGGTGCGACAAACATTGGTGGGAAATGTGTTATCACTTATGGCTCTTCATTAATCCGAAATTTCAACTTCTCAGGATATGCTTGACCTGTTTAGGAATTTGATGCTAAGAAGGGTGTCTCATGGTTTCATCTGTGCTTTTTCGCTGTAGCCAGCAGCTTGTTATTATCATGCGAAGTTTCCCTTCAAAGTTCAATAATGGTGCTTGCAAGCTGCTTCTCATCGAAGAGTTTTTTTTTTTTAGAACAGTACAAAAGACATAATAGGGTTGTTGAGACGTTCATTGGCGGACACTTGTCGATGATGCTTGACACAGACAGTCAATGCGGGTACCGACTCTCTGCACAAGCTGCTCTTCTTTTTGCTAAAAGGGCGACTCACTAGAAGGCGCTGGAGAGGACGACCCACTGTTCGAAGGCTTCGCCACAACTACCCTGGGTACGAAGAGGGAGTTGCCTGCCGACCTAACAGTTGGTTACTATGAGCGGGTCGTGGTAGGCTTTGAGGCGCTCCACATTGACAATGTCGCGCCCTTGACGGCGCATGTCCGAAGATGGTTCGATGGGTTCGATCAAGTAATTTACAGGGGAAGTGCGTTCGACGACTCGGTAGGGGCCTTCGTATTTGGGCAATAGTTTTGAAGATAGGCCAGCTGAAGTGGTAGGGATCGAGAGCCCCGCGAGCGCTCCAGGGAGGAACGTGGGCGCAGTAGTGCTGGTTTCAGCGCGAATGCCCTTTTGCCGCTCTTGATCATGCGCTGTAAAGGTCCTTGCAAGCTCTCGACACTCTTTAGCAATCTTGGCTGTAGCAGAAATAGGCGCCCACTCGCACGGGTCTGGCTTGTACGGAAGTATAGTGTCGATGGTGTGCGACGGGTGCCTTCCATAAAATAAAAAGAAAGGTGAAAAACCAGTAGTGCTCTGAGGGGCTGTGTTATATGCGTAGGTGACGAAGGGTAGAATGGCATCCCAATTTGTGTAATCGGCGGCGACGTACTTGGAGAGCATGTCGCCGAGCGTACGGTTGAAGCGTTCAGTGAGGCCATTCGTCTGCGGGTGTTAAGCAGCAGTTTTGCGGTGAACAACATTGCACTCTTTGAGAATGGCTTCGACGACTTCAGACAGGAAGACGCGGCCTCGATCACTGAGCAGTTCCTGAGGTGGACCGTGTCGCAGCATGAATTGTTGCAGCAGGAAGGAGGCCACATCGCTCGCTGTAGCCGCGGGTAGAGTGGCAGTTTCGGCGTATCGTGTGAGGTGGTCCACAGCAACTATGGCCCAGCGGTTACCAGCCGACGTTAGTGGAAGTGGCCCATACAAATCGATGCCAACGTGCCCAAACGGCCTGGCAGGGCAAGGTAGAGGTTGCAGACCTACCGGCGACAGGTGCGTTGAAGTTTTGCGGCGCTGACATTCTATGCAGAAGCGAACGAATTTCGGCACGTAGCGGTACATGCCGTGCCAAAAGTACCGTTGGGGAATGTGGTGGTAAGTCTTCGATACCCCGCAGTGCACACATTGCGGATCAGAATGAAATAATTCGCATATGTCACAGCGCAGACTGTGGGGTATGACTAGTAGCCACTGGCGGCCGTCACCATTGTAATTGGGTCGGTGGAGAAGGTCATCGCGAATGGCGAAATGGTGGGCTTGACGACGCAACGCGCGAGTGGATGGAGTGGATGGATCAGTCAGCAAGTCTATCAGTGAGGCAATCCATTGATCCTTGCGCTGTTCAGTAGCAACGGCATGAATGCTAATGGAAGAAACGGCAAGGTGAGACGCTGAGTCGTGGGCATTGTCGTCAGGCAAGGGAGAGCGCGGCAGGGCGTCGGCGTCGGCATGTTGCCTTCCGTTACGGTACAGCACGCGGATGTCGTAGTCTAAGATGCGTGGAGAAGTCCGGAGCGAAAACGACGACGTCATCGAGGTAGCACAGGCACGTGTGGCATTTCAGGTCACGCAGAACGGTATCCATCATGCGCTCAAAGGTGGCAGGCGCATTGCACAGCCCAAACGGCATGATGTTAAATTTGTACAAGTCGTCGGGAGTGACAAAAGCGGTCTTCAGTCGAGCGTCCTCCGCCATAGGTACTTGCCAGTACTCTGAGCGCAAATCGAGAGATGAAAAGAATTCGGCTCCTTGCAGACTGTCAATCGCGTCATCTACACGCGGTAGCTGGTACACGTCCTTACGAGTGATCCTGTTGTGCGTCGGTAGTCCACACAGAACCGCACAGAACCGTCCTTCTTCGTGACGAGAACGACAGGAGACGCCCAGGGGCTGTTAGAGGGTCGAATAACATCGCGGCGAAGCATGTCGTCCATTTGCTCTTTGTTTACACGGTGTTCTGTGGGAGATACGCGATATAGACGTTGCCGTAGTGGTGGTTTTGCGCCTCTGTCGATGCGATGCGTAACAGTGGATGTGCGGCCTAGAGAAGGTTGAGCGACATCGAAAGAAGAGCGGAATTCTTCTAACAGGGCCAGAAGCTGGGAGCGCTGGACCGGCGTAAGGTTTTCAGCAATGGAAGGACCGAATACATCAGCGGATGATGAAACAGATGTAGAAACAGCACTAAGCGTATTGGAACTTCGGCAGTGCGTGTCATCAGGTTGATCCATGACTTGTGCGTCTTCGATGGGTTCCACGCTGCCAAGACATTCCCCTCGCACCAACGTAACACTGTACGTGGATGAGTTCAGAAAAAAAATAGTGGTGCTGCCGTGAGTGACTTGCACGGTCGCGAAAGGAACCAGCAAGCCTTTTCTGGTGAAAACACGATGAGATGGTGAGAGGAGTGCAGCGGTGTCGAAAAGACTTGCGCTGTAGACCGACACCGCCGCGGACGAGTTTGCAGGCACTTGCGTGTCGTCCCTGACGAGTAACTTGCTTGCAGCAAATGGACTGTCAGCCGGCGTCAAAGAGAATTGTGTCGGCTTTATTTCTGCTGGTGCGCAATGAATGACGGCGTCGTGGCGGGAGAGAAAACACCATCCTAGGATGACGTCGTGAGAGCATGAAGGAATTATGATGAATTCAACGGCATACATCACGTCCTGAATCATGAGGCGGGCTGTACACATCGCTGTAGGGTGAATGCTTTGGGCGCTGGCTGTACGGAGGGAGAGCCCGGAAAGTGGCGTGGTCACTTTGCGCAGTAATCGGCTAAGTTTCGCGTCCATGACGGATACGGCGGCTCCAGTGTCTACAAGGGCAGATGCACAAACACCATCCACAAGCACGTCTATCACGTTCGATGGGCTTTCCTGAGGGCTTCCGCAGTTAGACAGCGTCGCAGCCCTTGCCTCGTGGACTTCGACGATTAGTTTTTCTGGTCACCCTCTAGTGGACGTGGCTGCATCGGCGACAGTGAGCAACGTCGCGCAGAATGTGAACAGCGGGTAGATGGAGCGGGACGACGGTGACGGAGACGGCGGTTAGTCATAAAAGCGGCTCGATTGGCTGGGAAAATTGGAGGCGACCTGCGGTTGCTGCACATGATTGCAATAGCGTGCTACGTGACCGACGCAACCACAAGCAAAGCAGATGGGGCGATTGTCAGCAGTGCGCCATCGGTTCGCGGGTCCCATCCATGTCAAAGAACGCGATGGGCGAGCCGGCTGCTGATATAGCTGCATTGTGGGCGGCACACGGGGCACGTGGATGACATTGGAATATGTAGACGGCACAGTTTCTCCGAAGGCCTGGGGCCTGGCGATGGTTTCGATGTAACCAAGGGGGCGAGTCACAGGAATCGGTGGGGGTGGCCTGGCGACAACTTGGGCGTAACTGAGTGGTGTAGATACTGGAGGCAGCTGGTCGTATTCAGGAACGACCTCCGCGATTTCCTGCTGAATGGCTCGGCGGAGGGGAGGCAGAAGTGTGCTTGACGGCTGTTGAGCACGTTGCAGGGAAGCAAAAGCCAGTAAAGAGACCTGGCGGGCAACTTTTTCACGCACGAATGACTTGATTTCAGCGAGCAAGGTGTTGTGGTCAGGAAGTGTTGACAGGGCCGAGAGATCAGCGTCACGTGAGGGTGGTCGACGGGTCATCGAGCGCTGCCGCCACAGCTCCTCGTAACTTTGGCATAGTGTAATGATCTCTGCCACAGTGCGAGGGTTCTTGGCCAGGAGCATGGTGAAGGCATCGTCGGCGATGCATTTTAGAACATGGGTAATTCTGTCAGCCTCTGACATGCTCGCGTCCACTTTCTTGCACAAGTTAAGGATGTCTTTTATATAACTTGTTAAGGACTCACCGGACTGCTGTGCTCGTTTACGTAAGCGCTGTTCGGCTCGCAGCTTGTGAACGGCAGGACGGTTGAACACGTCGACGACGGCGGTTTTAAAAGCGGACCAAGTGGGGAAATCGGATGCGTGGTTGTTGTACCACATGCCAGCCACACCCGCGAGGTAGAAAACCAGGTTGCCGAGTTTACCTGCCTCGTCCCAATGATTGGGGACGCTGACGCGTTCGTACATAGCGAGCCAGTCCTCGACGTCGGTGCCATCCGCGCCGGTGAAGACAGGAGGGTCGCGGATGCGAGGGACACCGGAACGTGGTGTCGGCGCAGGAGGAAGCGTTTGCTGCGCGGCGTCTTGGTGCATGGTATAAGGCACGGTACGGGATCGAAGCTCCAAGGGCATCGAATGCTAACCGAAGGTGCACTCTCCACCAAATTGTTGAGTTGTTTATTGGCGGACACTTGTCGATGATGCTTGACAGCGACAGTGAATGCGGGTACCGACTCTCTGCACGAGCTGCTCTTCTTTTTGCTAAAAGGGCGACCCACTAGAAGGCGCTGGAGAGGACGACCCAGTGTTCGAAGGCTTCGCCACAGGGTGATTATTCTTGTTTCACTACTTCTTGACTACCACCAGGTACTTTTCTGAAAGGTACATTGGTCCCATTTATAAAATCAAGCTAGAGAAACAAATTAATATGCAAGGTATATTATTGTCTAATTCCCGGAAAATAATGCTTTCAAAGCAACAATGCTTAGTTCTTTTACATTCTGTTTGCTTAGGTATGGCCAGAACCCTGCAGGCATGGCCGGTGGCATGCCTGGCGCCATGGGAGCTGCTGGACATGGCACAGCAAGTGAATTCCAGACAGGTCCATCAGCCCTCAGCACAGCAGCCCTGGTGGCTGCGGCTACTGCTACAGCTACAGCCACAGCTAGTGTGGTTGCCCTCCAAGAGCAACGGCAGCAAGAGGTTATGGGTGGACAGTATGGACAGGTACACACCAAGCACAGACTTTCCTGTGGTTTGTGGCCTATCTATAGAAAAAATAAAGCTGCCCTTCGTGCTAACTTATCTCTAAAGCTTGAGTGTAAACATCTACATGCAAATAAATTATACTTTTACGTTAAATGTTTTTATGGCAGCCTATAGATACGTGCGACTAGTTCTTTTGTGGGATGCATTATCAAGAGTTAAAAAAAATCACCTACTTTTCATTCTTAATCTTGAAGGGACCCGGCAACACATTTTCAGGCAGCCTTGGAATGAGTTCACTAAAGAAGTTTATTGCCTCACAATTTCACTGCCGCAAAAATTTTTGGAATCTATCCAGTACGAGTGGAGTTACGAAAATTTGTCGCACGCTGCAATTGCATTTTCTCTTCTCTCGTCCCAACGAAAGCTCTGGAAGCTAAGGATGGAGGGATGACACAGGGAAAGAAAATTTGTCACGTCTGCCTTGTGACCTTAAGTATTTTTCAGCATGTGCGCGTGTGGCACGTGTGAACAAATCATGGCCTTTTGCGGCAGTCCCAGGAACCACTGAGCCCGCCATGCTCAAATCAGCCATTGTCTGGAGCAGTGACTGTGACGAGTGATTTCCAAGCTTGTATTGTCATTTGTCGAGAGAAGAGAAAGCAATTTTTAGCTGACTTAGAGGATTAATTGTGAATTCCAGACCAAGTGTGTTATGCTATAATATTTGGCTTATATTATAACAGGTGAGTCTTTGTGTTAGAGAAGGTGGCGCCATTTTAGCTCGACAATCTATAATGATGAATGCCTCCTCACAATGTAAATTATGCTTTGCTTTCACCTGCTCCAGATGGGGGGCCACCAGCAGTTTTCTGGTGGAGGCTATGGTGTACCTCCACAGCGGGGCCCTCCGCATGGTGCTGCAGCAGCCGGCCAGATGGGAGGGCTGATGGGACCAACTATGGGGCCTCTTGGGGCACCCTCCAAGCTTGGTGGCGCAGGTGGACCTCTCTACAACCAGCAGCAGCCACCGCCACGTGGCAGACCGTACCCAAGCCCCCAGCAGTACCTGGCACACAAGCGACAGCAGCAACAACAGCAACAGCAGTACCCAGCAGGGCCCATGCAGGGGGGTTACATGGGCACTCCACAGCAGCAGTACGGGCCTCAGTATCCAGGGGCAACTGGTGGGCCATTTGCCAAGCAGCAGGGAGCTGGCTATGGTGCCCCGGCCTCCCAAGGAGCTCTGGCAGCTTACCACCAGAGCTCTCCTCTGCGAGGTCGGCTCCCTGGTCAGGGTATGCCCACTCCTGCTGCTTACCCAGGCAGTGCACAGGGGGCACAGTACTACCAACAGCCGATGGGTGGTCCACAGACACAGTATGAGCAGCAGTTTATGCAGGGTGGCCAGTATGCACCACATGGCTTCCAGGTACGACCATCCTATATCTTTCCCACTGGTAGAATGGTGCTGACACAATTGAAAGCAATCATTATAAGAGCTTGCTTTATAATATAATAAACTACAACATTTTCTTTGCATCAATAGCTGATATCATGGCATTATGAGGTAATTAAAGTGGATTTCCTGTATGGTTGCTCATGTAACTAATGCCTTTAGTGCCAACACGAGTTTTATTTGGGTGGTCAACGCACTGGTCTAACAAGTTTTTGTGCAGCACTAATAGGAGGCGTGCAGTTAATCAAGTTGAAAGATGCTCAACCGAAAACTACTCCAGCTCAATGCTATGTCTAGCTCTCTTCACAAACCTGGTGCATTATTTACACTTCTATGTATTACCAGCTGACGGGCTTTCTTTATGTTCTACTGACAGCAGCGGAGCATGAACTACCAGCACTCGCCCATTCCTGGCAACCCCACACCACCACTGACCCCAGCATCGGGCATGCCCCCATACCTGTCTCCAAGCCAGGACACAAAGCCTGTGTTCCCTGATATCAAGCCTCCTCTGCCCATTCAGAGTGAGTTGGGTCGAGTAGGATATAGTAGGCTCTTGATGCAATCATGTTTGAGGAGATAAAAAGGGCTGAAGATTCCTAAATTATGAGCAACAGAAAAATAACTCAAGTAACAAATCAGTGTCATTTCACATTTATGAACACCAAATAAAATCGATAAGTAATGTCTGACTGAGCAAATTTTACATCAAATATTATGTACAGTAAGACTTTGCAAAGCAGTTAAAGGACCTAGTGCATCAACATTGATTCAATTATAATTCAAACTAGTTTTGCATGTCCTATAAAGTTTGAATTACTGTATTTATTCGTGTAGTGAACTACTTTTTTTTTTTAATCTGAGCAAAATTGGGTGTTAGTTTTTATGCAAGGCCAATTTTATGAAAATTTTTTCGGGATGAGCATAAAATGCCACGAGGCAAAAATCAATTAGGTCACTTAGCCTTTCGCAATTGACATAGGCGTACACTGTTTGAAAACAGCTTCTTTTTCGCACGTCACTTATCTTTAGGTGCTATCTTCTGCAAGCTGTCCCTGTGTTGCCCACGCACACCATAAAAACCTTTTGGGGCTATCTTTCCTCGCAATCTTTTAACCGCAACAGTGGTATCTGCTGTGATCTCGAGGGGCCCAGAAGCGCGTGCTAAAACGCACTTTGCCAACTTCCGGCCAACCTAATAGGAGGACCTGGACGACGATGAAATTTTAGCAAGTAAGCAACATTGCAGCAAGCTCACCACCGAAGTCTCAAAACAAACCGTCGATAGCAAGATAACGACAAAATACGGCTACCACCTCGCTCTCTACGTGAGAAGTTGCTTTAGAAGCGGATAACAAGCAGGAAGAGCAAATTACAAATCCGGAGTACTACCATGTTGGGAAACCGTCACAATCTTTTCTGGTCGACAAGCGATTTTTTTCTGGTTGTCCATAAACCTGAGACGTGATAGCGACGAATGGTCCTTCGTGACAGTAAATACCGTCGTCGTTGCTAGAAAATTGCGTGCATGTGGCTGGGCCTTAAAGTTTCGTATTTGTAGCAAGCGACCGTCAGTTAGCGTGGGCAGTTTTGGGACCTTAGCCTGCCGTGTGCTTGTCAGCTGCGGTGTCTCTACATTGCACCGTTCGGGAACCCTGCTGTGGCGTGTAGATAATCGAAAAAGACTGGGGACGTGCAGCGTCACATAGAAAGAAAAACAATACGGCGGGCTGCAGCGGGTGAAGAGGTAGTAGTGGGAGTGAGCCGAGGTGGCCTAGGGGGTCAGCATAATAGTAAAAAACTGAAGACATCCAACGGGCAAGGAGGTGCCAGGTGTTGGTTAGCAGGATTGCAGCGGATCAATGTAGGGCTTGCGTTTATTACTCGGGGGTAAAAACTAAATTTTGATGACTGAAAATGGGGTGCATTTAATTATGCAAATGCGTTCATTGTGCGAGTAAATGCAGTAGCATGTGTGAGCTCTATTGAGTGCATAACTATGAGAACCTAATTTCGCCCTTTCCCTTGCCTTGCCACCAGCATTTATCCTGCTGTCTAATGTTGCCATCGCTGTGGTTTAGCCTACTTTTTGCTGTAATATGAGGAACTGAAATTCAAAATTAAACCTGTTTGCTAGTTTGATAAAGAACATCATTTGCTAAATTTGTCCTAATGACATGCATGCTGTAATACAGGTCCCTCTCAGCTCTGAATTTTTTTGGTGCAATTGGGATTTTTATAGGAGGTGCAGTCCCTTACTGTGGCTACATCAAATTTATTTTAATATGGCATACTTTTCTTGTCTGCAGAGGACGACGAGCTGCGCCTCACATTCCCTGTGAAAGATGGCATCATCCTGGCGCCCTTCCGGCTGGAGCATAACCTCGCAGTAAGCAATCATGTGTTCCACCTGAAGCCTTCGGTGCACGAGACTCTCGTTTGGCGCTCTGACTTGGAGCTGCAGCTCAAGTGCTTCCACCATGAGGACCGCCAGATGCATACAAATTGGCCTGCTTCAGTACAGGTGAGTTTACTGCGGCTCTACTCCTCATCTTGTGGGAATGTTATTTGATGTTTAATTGATAACTGTCTGATGCAGGTCTCTGTCAATGCCACTCCATTGAGCATCGACCGAGGAGAGAGCAAGACTTCACATCGGCCATTGTATCTCAAAGAAGTCTGTCAAGCAGGCCGCAACACCGTGCAGATCACTGTTACAGCTTGCTGTTGCGTGAGTCTTTCTTCATGTAGCCTTTTCTACCATTAATCTTTGTGTATCCTTGTACATGCCAGTACACCTCAACTGGTCTGTACAAGGAGTAGTGGTGAAATGCTGTTACGTTTCTTTAACACACATGTTGTTCTGGTACTAAGCCATTTACCCTACGAAATTGAATCATCTTCTGTTTTTCTTCTGTGATTGTAGCTACGTTTACATTCGTGGCATCACTTGCAGTCTTGAGGCTATTGAATGCCGTTGTATATGGCCTGTAATGTTGCTGACTGCATTTCCGACTGAAAGAGTTGTACAGGCTTAATTGCATTAATAGTATAATCTCAATAATATGATTACGATTGATGCGAATTTCGTGATGATAGGAATTTTAAAGTTGCTTCGCATGGACTACATTATATAAAATAAACCGTGATTTGGTGTTATAAGAACAGTTTCTCCGGCTACCACAGGGGATATAAATGCCCTATTGACCTCTGCGCGCGAGCGGCAAGCAAGGCAGCTTGTGTGTAGGAGGAAGGCCCGCTCTCACTTTGCCTCTAAGGTAGAAAATGTGGCAAAACTCACTAAAATTTCCCTCGCTTCGAGGCTAAAAAAGTGGCCGAAAACCTTGCCGTGATGCTGATGCGAAAAAATTGGTCCGAGACAAATTTTGCCGCCACACGATAGCCGATCACCTTTCTGCTATGGCTTTGGCTACACCGGCTGCATTAGCACTCAAACCACGTGATGTAAACAACCAACTGTGCATTCAACATGTTGGCAAAGGTATCCGTGACTTGCGTCGGTGTAATTGTGAACTATTTGTGCAGTGCGACAAAGCTCACGGCCTTGACAAGGATGTGTTCATCGAGAGCCTGGTTTGTATTTTGATGGCTGTGAACACCAGAAGTAGAAAAAGGTGCAGCAGCAGCGAGTTGGCGTGCCTTGACATGTTTCTATTTGCACTGCCGTCTGAATCCATCGCCCCCGCTGCATTCGCTCGTGCCGTTTCTGCTGGCATATCACCCGAAACAATATTTGTAAAAGTGTAAACTGTTTCTTTTCAGTGCTTTGCATGCATAACAGAACTAAGTATAGATTTCCATGCTCAGGAATGAATGCTTAAGCGGTGACGACGGCGGTGGCATGTATACGAGGGGCAGAACGAATGTGAATATTTCCGACGGGCGCGGACATGGTTTTGCGGCTGCTCTAGCGATTTTGCTTGAATTCTGCAGCGTGAATTTTCCAGGACTGATTATTTTCGTGTTGACTTCGTAGTGTGTTTTTTCTGGCGGAGTAAATTTCCAATAAGCTTTGCCACTTTCGCTCCCTTTGATGCCAAGTGTGGACGTGTTGTATAGCGCCTGCAGCATGAGGAAGGAAACTATGGCACTTTATTGAAAGATAGTGAAAGCAGCAGAAAAGTTCAAAAATCATCATCATTATTTCAAAAAGAAGTAGTTGACCCTAATAAAGTTCTTGTTCATCTTCATGATCAGCTTTAACTTGTTTTAGTTCAACAAATTCGAGATGATACAAATGTTTTGCATGCTCCTTTCATATTCGTATCATCAAGATTCTACTTATTTTCAAGGCACCACAATCTATCACCAAAGAACTTGAAGGGTAGCAGAAACAGTTGAGCTTAACTCTTCATAGTGTCGAAATTTCTGCCATATGTCACTCTGCTGCTGCTGTTGATGTTAAATGCCTTAAATTGTGCTTCTTTATAGACTCAAGAAAGCTTTGGTATGAGCGAAGCACTTTACGAGGAATGTTACCTAAATAATCATTTCAGTGCCTTGTACGAGTAAAAGTACTAACTGTGGCTTGTAAACTACAACAAATCTAGTAAGCCTTGTATGTGAGCTGACATGACACTAGTCATATCATTGTTCTCAGCCTTTTTAAATCTACTGCAAGATTAGGCCTCTTCCAGTGATCTCCAGTTTACCCTATCCTGTGCGGGCTTATTCTCTTTTATTTCTGGCAACTTCCTAATTTCATTCCTCCATCTAACCATTGTGTTGCTGTTTGTGTCAATTGGTACCGTATTTACTCGCGTAATCCTCGCACTCGCACAATTCTCGCACCCCCCACATCGCCCTACAAAAATACGATTTCTTTTTTTCCTCGAGTAATTATAGCACCCCCAAAAACTGCTGTAATAATGTCGTCTGCTCTTTCCAGCTACGGATGGTGATAGCGCACGTCATCTGGCGCCACCTCTTAAGCATCAACCGTACTATTGCACAGAGATTCAATCTAACTCAAGCGAAACCGAAGTGGCCAGTGCGCGTTGCGGCGTGTTTTGTATGTTGCGTCGGTAACCTTGTCAAGCTATGAGGCGATACTGATGCTGTACGGCTGCTTTCAAGTTGCAAGTGATAGATAATGCACTAAAGAACCGCAACAGGGCTGCTGGTAGGCCCTTGGGATTGATTGTAAACTTCATTTCTTACGAAGGAAACTGCGGAAAATTTTGGTAAATAGCCATCAGCCCAATACTGTTGTCCCACGCTTACCTTTTGAGGGCTCCTGTTGAGCGACGAACGCAACTGCTATGCCCGCAACCTCCGCAAGCTTTGCATATGGTATTCTTATTCTCAACTATTTGCTTCTACTTTTTGTGTCTCAATGTAATCTTGTCTTGTGTTGAACCTCTGCTTTTATTGTTGAGGTAAGTTTTAATTAGTACTTCTTAAAGCTTGCTGTTAGATGTTGGTGTGAGAATCCCGATTTGCGGCCACTTCGGTTTTTTTCGCTCTGTACGTTTTCTTAGAAAGTTTTCCCCGCGTAATTCTCGCACCCCCCAACTTTTCATAGGTTTTCCGGCAACAAAAGTGCGAGGAATATGAGTAAATACGGTAGTTTGTCCTACGCATTGCGTGGCCTGCCCGGTCCATTTCTTCAGCTTCATGTCAATTAGGATATCTGCTACACCTGTTTGTTCTCTGACCTATTCTGCCATCCTCCGATCTCTTAATGTTATTCTTATAGTTTTTCATTCCATCGTACACTAGGTGGCCCTCAACTTGTGTTTCAGCACTATGTATCAAAACTAGCAGTTCAAAGTGATTGCATACTTTTTGCTTTAATCACAATGGCAAATTTCCTGACATCAGGAGTGCCCACTGATTGAGCTCCGGCCCATTCTTATTCATTGGTGAGTTTTCTTTCTATGATTAGGCTTTCACGTTAATGGTTGTCCTAGGTATACACAATTCTTGTATACATTGTAATTTTCCAGTGTACAGTTTTTAATCTCAGGTGCTACCTATTTTTCTAGACTGAATAGCATTATTTTTGTCTCATTATCATTTTTAAGCCTACTTTAATACTTCCTCCGTTTAATACCTAAATCAATTTTTTGCAATTTGTTACTGCCTACAGTAAGCAACAATAGCCAACTGTACAACATGACTGTACTATAGGGCTAAAAAAGATATCTAAGGGAACATTTTTTTCTATATTCAAAGTTGAAAAATGTTTCTTCTTTTTTTATGGTCATTTGATTGTTACACATTTTCACCGTAGCTGTGAAGTCCGTAGTGCGGTAAGTAGCTCTACTACATGATTTGTGCAAAGTCATCTGGTGATGGCTATTGTAGACTTTCTTTTAGTAAGCAGTGCAGAAGTTTTCCATTGGAGGCACAGTGCTTCCATGTATGTTCTTGGTTAACAATGTATAGGCCGATTGTCAGCAGCACTCCTACCTTTTTTTTTACTGTGGTGCACTGCAGTCTCATCTATTCCTGCTGCAATTGGTGCATCGGCCAACAGTGCGATCAGTGCTGCAAGGCTTGCTTCGTAAGAGGCTTCTACCAGCTGAACACAGCATTGGCAAGATCAAGCGCAACTTTTCAGTGGGCCCATCCCCACAAGGCCCTAACACTGGCCCTGGTCAGAATCCCGTGGGAGGTACAGGACCTGCAGAAGATGGTGTTGAGCAGACTGCCATCAAGGTGCAGCTCAAGTGTCCTATCACATTCAAGCGCATCACATTACCTGCACGAGGCCAAGAGTGCAAGCACATTCAGGTTGGTAGCAAACGGTTTAATGCTTGTGTAGTGAGTGCATCGATTCACAGTCTACTCTAGGATCGATATAGTTGGAACTGGATATATTAAATTGTTCGATATGTTAAAGCAGCTGTAACATTCCCTTGGATACCTTTTACTTGAGTGCAACGCAGTACTACTAAATCTACATAGTATGAAAGAAAGAATGAGCACGGTATGCTCATTCTTTTCTTGATTGCTTGCTTCGTCTCATAATAGGGTTGACTTACATAGAAATTTTATTTGTGTGTGTTTAATCAATGCGTTCACAGGTTACACGAGTATGTGCAGATAAGCTTTCGTGCCTTTTCTGCCACTGTGCAACTCCTCAGTTGTTTGTCAGTGTTTGTGGCAACTTCTGTCTTTTGTTCGTGTTTGCATACTTTATCTTTTAGAATAAAATTCTGTTTGTGCCCCGTAATGATGGATTTGCTTTAGTAACCTTCATCTCTATACAGCTGTGGTGAATGTTACTTATAATGGAGATATTTAGCTGTCATGCAGTGAAGCATACATGTAGTTCGTTGTCAGAACTGCCGTGCTGCTTCGAGAATGTGAAAGGCCTCCCTGTGTGATGTGCACATATCACACAAACCGTTGGACGAAAAATATTCAGGTACACTTTTATGCCTTTGACACTCTCCTAGAGCAACAAATTGGTAAACAAAGGGCTGTTTTTCACGGTTTAGGGAGTCTGTCTGACATGTGCAGTGTTTCCGGATATGCTTCAGATCGGCATATTTTGTACGTAAAATAAATGAACATATTAAACTATCCAGCCACCCCTTTGAGTCATATATTTCAGTTACACTGTACTTCACATGTACTCAGAATTAGCTTTAAGGGGAGATGATAATCGAAAAGTGCAAGTTTTACCCAAAATTACATATTTTTTGTTTTTATTTGCTCCCATAAATTTGGTTTCTCTGCGTTCGTGACAAAAAACAAGAAAAAAATTGTAATTAAACTCGAAGTGGTTTAAAATTGCTTTCGAAGAGCCCTAGGTGGCTACTAAAAACCAAAAAGCTCATTGTCTAAAGTCGCCTGGAAACAATCACCTGGCAGCTTGCCATTGAATTTCACATGAGTTCACTAAAACCACACACTCAAGATAACTGCGATTGCCAAGCGTTAATGATGGAAGAAATTATCTTCAAAAACATATCTTTTTCGCATAAATGAGCTTTTTCTTAATATTTGGCCAACCTCTGAAGTTTGGAAATGTGAAGAGTGCAAGTATCTTTTTTAAAACTTGATATTGCCTGTGTAATTGTTACGAACCTAAAATAAGCAGGTAGTATTGGTTGAATATTCTAAGAAATCTCACATTGCAGTTTTCTTGTCAATTAAAATATCTTATACACACTTTCTTGATAGTTGTTTGCAGAACAATAATGTGGAACAATATGAGCTAATAATGGCTAAGAACTACAGAAGTTTATTGGCATAAAAAGTTCATCCAAAACGAGCTATACTTTATGGGGTGTCTGGGTTTCGGTTCTGGTTTGGGAACCGGTTCTCTGGCCCCCAGGGGCGTTGTACGTATGCATATACAATGGACTCCCAATAAAAAAAAACTCGCTTAAATGAAAATGCCTCATTAACAGAACTAAATGGGCTCATATGGCTGGATTTCTATGTGTTGCGTAGTAAAATTCATCGGTTAATCGAAACAGTGCTTATTGGTCACCTACAGTTAAACGGCACAAACTCTAAACACAGCATAGACTCCCTCAGGCGAAAGGTAGTCTCACAACCATGGCAACACCTCGAGACAAGCCAATCTAGTAGCCATTCTCGCTTGTGGCTGTGGGAGCCGATTCGGTGAGTCAGTTATGTGTTAGGCCTATTTGTGCGGATAAGTGAGGTGGATCACGGTGTTATTTCAGCCCGATAAAATGGAAGTGGCCACACCATGCACTCTAGCTTGAACAAAAGCTGCAAATTCTTCAGGAGCTCTATCGAATCGGCGTGCCCAAGACGGAGGTGGCGAAAAAATACAACATCCCGAAATTGACGCTGTCGCGGATCTGCAAAGACAGAAAAGATTGAAGGCGCTTTAAGGACTGGGACCTTTACATCTAAATGGATGTGTATGCGGACGATGCCTTATGAACAACTAGAAAAAGTTATTTTTTTGTGGTTCAAGCATGCACGGAGTTCCAATTTACCCATAAGTGGACCGATTCTCGAACAGAAAGCTCGAGAGATCACCATGCAAATGTGTGTTGAGAACTTGGTCCTAAGCGAGGGGTGGCTCAGCCGCTTCAAATCATGCCATGGCCTAGTCTTCAAAGCAATCTCAGGTGAGAGTGCTGCAGTCAACAGGCACAATTGCACCGACTGGCAACAGGAGCGGCTTAAGAAAATTTTGATGAGCTTTGAGTCATGAGACGTCTTCAACGTCGATGAGATGGATCTTTTTTATAAGGCGCTTCCATCAAAGACTTTCACCTTCAAAGGCGAAATCTGTAGTGAAGGAAAACGCAGCAATGTTTGCATCACTGTGCTGGTGGGTTCAAACATGGCAGGAGATCAGAAATTGAAGCTGTTGGTAATAGGCAAATCAAGGCACCCACGTTGTTTCAAAGGCATTCGACACATTCTCGTTGCGAACCATGCGAACGGAAGAGCGTAGATGACCATGGCCATTTTCGAAAACTGGCTACGGGAAGACGCAAGATTTACGAGGCAAAGCAGCAAGGTTGTCTTTATTGTGGATGATTGTCCAGTCCACGGTCAGTTTGAAAGACTCCAAGCCATCACTTCAGCCAATGCAACAGCAGTGATCCAGCCGATGGATCAAGGGGTTATTCAGAATATTAAAGTTTATTACTGCAGACAATTGCTCCATTGAATGCTGCTTTGTGCAGACAGCGGGAAATACTACAGCATATATTTATTGGCAGCCATCGACATTTCGGCTCGTGCCTGAAAGCAAGTGAAGGCAACAACAATACACAGGCGCTTTCATCATGCTTGCTTCCAAGTGCAAGAAGCAGTACCTGATGAAGAAGAAAGCACTGCTGATGCCAACATTGAGGCAGTATTCAGTGAGGTTGTGCCCTCTGCCACTTTCATGTTGCAGGACTACGAATCAATTGATGAAAATGTTCGCACCTGTCATGAAAAGACTGTTGAGGAAATGATTGCCGAAGTGCAAGATGAGGATCAACCATGCAGCGATGAATGTGATGACAATATTGCCAGTGCAGTAGTGCCACCAGACCGATCAGCTAAAGAGGCTTTCAAACTTTTGCAGCGCTATTTAGAGCATGAGGCTTGTCCAGAATTTCTGCATAGTTTGTTAAGCATGGGTGCGCACTTTGTGAAAAAACAACTCAAACTTTCCAAACAAACCACCCTTCATTCCTTTTTTTCTCCTACTCATCCTCATGAGGAAGGTGAGGTTTGTGTAATTTGAACAAAATTTTTGATTCACTAAGTAAGTGTACTTTGCTAAATGAAACTTCTGATAAATGGAACAGTTTTATGGATCCCCTTCGAGCTCCGTTTAAGAGGAGTTGACTGTAGTAGCATGCTTGTGTACTTAAAGGAAGTTTCTGCTTGGCTATCGGCGGCTGCATACGTCGTGTTGGCAGGCGCTTCAGCGCTGTGCCCCGTGCTCTCCGTGCGACGCGTCCGCCATACAATACAACATTTTGGCGATGAGGATCTTAAATCCACGAGCATCAGGCCATAAGGTGGGCATCCAGCCTTCTTCCTTGTGCTGTCGACCCAGCACCTGTGCAAGCTCTCCCATCGGTACTGTATTTCCTGCATACATTCCTACTTTTCGACACTTTTCGTGTCAGTCCGGTCACGAGGCCTACCGACGTGCGCGTCTCTCCTGAAATGCCTTCTCGACGCTCTCTCCGGCAAGGATGAACCCGGCTATCCCTCCGCCTTCGTTCCTTCAGTGCCCCAGTGTACCGCCTATTCCGTGGAGGCAGTGGCTTCCTGTGTTACAGGTTTACATCGACGCCGCTGCCAGGGACGCCACGCCAGAGCACAAAAAGGCACTGCTCCTGAACGCCTTATGCGTTGAGGGACTCAACACCTACCCGCGTGCCGCCGAAGATGAGCCGCGAGCCGACCGGCCAACTAAGGAGACTACGCCGGACGTGCCCTGTGTTCTCAGTGCGGCGCGTCTGCTGCACGATACTACACTTTACACTTTATACTACACTTTACACTACACTTTATTACGATACTACACTTTACACTACACTTTATATAAAGCAATGTCATCGGCCTAGGCTACAGATTAACCAATCTTTTGTTTTGAATTGCCTCTCCCCTTAATAATGTTCTAGTTGTGAGAAACTTCTTATGTCTAAATTTTTGATAAAGGCATCTTTACGCAATGTAATTTTACATGTTACTGCGTTATTAAAAATAAGAATGAGGTGTTCTTTATTTGGAAAGTACAGTAAATATCCACGTATAAAACGAGTAACAAAAGCTTAGAGAAAAAGTTTCTTGAACTTGGACCCCTCACTTTAATCTCTGTAATCTTCAGCAGTGCATCTTCGGACATTTATTTGTCGGACAAATCGTTCCATAAGTGCTCCTCCTCTGTGCCATCGAGGGCATTTCAGATGCTGCACTTCTTGAAGGAATAACACACAAAATCCTCTGGGATGCTTGCTCAACATCCCTAATTCAGTTTGCACATCGAGAGGCTGCAGTTCAGACGTCATTCCATTATATATAAGCACAACTTTTGTGCCGCAGTCGCGCAACGGCCTCTTCGCCAAGTCGGCCCAATTGCTTCAAAAGCCGTCCAGCACAAGGATGGATCACAACAGTATGCCCGGCTGCCTACACTACATGGTCTTTGGTTGAGGACAAGGTCCTTGTTCATCCATCTTTTGTCATGGCTTCTCGTGTGTCACAATTGACTCCAATTTTCGGAGCATCCGCGGGCCCCATCTTCCAAGGAAGGGCGTTTTTGTGTTGGGAGACGACATCCGGCG